AACAAAGTGAGACTCTGTCTCAAAAAAATAACAAAACAAAAAACAGTTTTAGGGTGGATATCTGAGATAGTACAAAGAAAACTATATTATAAATGAAAGGACCAAAATTCTAGGTTTTTTTTTTTTTTTTTGGCTCTAATTCTGTCATTCATTTGTTAGCCATGTAATCTTGGGCTAGTTAGGTAGTTTATCGTTTAGAGCTTTAGTATTAATATTTACTCTGTTAAAAAGCAGGATTCCAGACCAGGCGAGGTGATTCTCGACTGTAATAGTAGCACTCTGGGAGGCAGAGACGGACAGATCATTTGAGTTCAGGAGTTCAAGACCAGCCTGAGCAAGGAGACCCTGTCTCTACTATAAACATAGAAATTGCATGAAAAAAAAAAAAAAAAAAAAAAAAAAATGCTCCAGTATCAACCCACAGTAACTATTCAAAAGAGTGAAGATAATTTTTGTTGTATATTTCCCTATAATGAAATCTTTTCAAAGAAAAGGAAGCACAAAAAAATATAATTTATAAATCCAGATTTATTCTCATTGACATTTATGAAACTTAGAAAAGTATAAATGTGATTATTTAAATTCTTATTCATTGACATTTGTTATTATAATAGTAGGCAAGGCTTTTTATTTTGGGGTGAATTTTCATAAAGAAAAAAATAAAACCACATTTTGAGGTAAATAACATTATATAGATTAGAAAATTTACACTAATCTATTTACTGACAGGCATTTTTAATACTGATTTACAATATGCATAATTAGATTAGAAATTAACCAAGTTCCCTAGTAAACATGATTTAGATTGTTCTGGGGACCTACATTTCAATAATAATGGCTTCAGAATAAAAGTAAATTAAAAAATTAAATTGTAATTTTTAAGAAAACATATTGAAAAAATAGTATTTAATTTGTTTTCTCCATTCAATATAAATAGTGGGAAATATGGAAGAGTAGCACATTTAATTGTTTTTATCACTGTGTTATGCACATAGCAATCTTTTCAAAAATACTCACTAGATAAAACTGATTGTTCTCAGCTTACAAAAGATCCTTTAAATGGTGTAATACCAAGCTTGCACTTGCACTGGAACGCTTTCCCTGTATCCCTTTATCTCCATAGAGGGCACTGCTGATATGAATTCCTAACACATTGCTATTGCATGAAGCATGGGTGATTTTTATATTATATAGTTTGTGAGGAATCAGATGTACATGTTTTGATTTTGTTTCTTTTTTAACATTCAAAATCTGTACCCCGATAATATGCCGAAATATACATAAATAAATAAATAAATTGTATTAAAGAGAAAACAAAAATGATTAAAATGTGCATTCTACTCTTTTCCAAGCTCATTGTAATAAAGTTTACATAGTCACCTTAATTGTTTCTCAAAAATACAAATTGGCAAATCAAATAACTCTATTCCAGGCTTATATCTGAAATAATTAAGACATAGAAATAAATAACTTTCAAAAGTCCTTGTTCCTGAAGAGTGTTGGAAATGGGATTCATATTTAAGTTAGTTTGATTTCAATATATTTTATTTAGTCTGCCACTAAAATAAATTATATAAATTAATTTCTAGGCATTAGGCATGAAAATAAAAACAACAACAACAATAATAATAATAGAAATATTTCATTCAGAACTTAAGGAATTACTCAATTTTAGCCTTAGCAAAATGTTTATAACACACATGAATATGTTTACATGTTATTGTTAAGGTGATTGACATTCAAAGTGTAAAATAGTAAACCAAGGACTGTGGGAAATAATACATAGAGATCTACAGGAGCTTGCTAGTTCACAAATATAGAATTATCCAATATCATGATGGAGTAAAACATACCAGAATGCATGCTGGTAGGCTATTAGGGGCTACAAAGCTACAAGTGGTTTTCAACAATAATTATGTGCAAGTAAAGCTACATTTTTATCCATTATCCTACTTTTAGTAAACAGAAAGCAGTATTTAATTTGCACCGGTAATCATAACATACTTACTCTAACATTCTGCTTTTCTAACTCTTTACTATACCTCCTATAGTTGCCCCGACAGTGCATGCCCTGTGTGTGATGAGTTACAGGCTCCAGAAAGTTGGATTAATTAGATTAACTAGTTTCCCACAGGATACGGAATAGTAATAGGTCCACAGACAAAACTGTTATTTGTCTGATTCCAAATGCTGTGTTTACAGTCATTAAGTTATGAAATAGTGTTTGTGCATTGAAGATATAATACTGGGCCAAAATAGAAATATTCTGTTTCCACCCAGAGGATTTAGTTTCCCGTGCCCAAGTGTGGAATGGGTGCAAGGACATTCCAGTTCCAGATGACAGCCTGAGCCCACATTTCCTTCCTCCCTCTCTCCCTCCCTTGTTTTCTCCCTCCATTTATCCTTCTCTCCCTTCCTTCCTTCCTTATTTTATTTCTGAGCAAAATAAGCATTCCAGGAACTAAATTGTTTAAGATTTTTTTAACACATCAGCAAAATCAGTTTACTATTATTTTGTTTAGGCTAAAATGGATACTTTTTTTCCTTCTACTGTTGTGCTGTGATAAATTTCTGTACATTTTATGTGCTTTTGTACTACTCTTATTCCTTAATGTATTATTGTGTCGTTATAATTTTATTTTTGAATTATTTTTAGAGGATGACAGACACATTAGCAATGAGCATGGCAGGGGGAAAGAGACAGAAAAAAAATAAATTTTTCATCATGTATTCTTAATCTTTAGCTTTGACATGTAAAATGAACCAAACATTTGCTTTCGCCTCATATCTCAGAATTAATTCATCTACTGAAAAATGGGAAGATTGAGTTTAAGGCATATTTTAAAGTACAGAATAAATTTTGATATCTATCAGAGTTGTATGTGAATTCTGTCCTAAATTCTGATTTAAATTGTTCTTTATTTTTCCCCAAGTGTGGTGTGGGTTAATATCACACACTTCATATATTCTCCTATAAGAAGAAAATGATCCTTTGTGTAAATAAATTTACTTTCTATTATAATCTTTGATTTTATTTAGATTTAAAATGGACTTCTTAAAGATTACATTCTTTATCAACTGCTGTGATTTTCTTAGATTAATAATGAAACTAATTGTTCATTTCTTAGACTCTGACAGCATACAATGAATTCTGACAACTTTCTCCCACTCCAGTTCCTGAATAACATGTAATTTCCTCGATATGACAGAATATCACTTTGGCATTCATGTCATGCCTTGGTGTTCATTTTTCATTTTTCTGTAAGTTAATGAGTTCTAGCAAAGAGTGCCATAGACACACAGTACCAGAGACATAAAGTTGTCTTTTGCCAGAAGTCCTGCCACAGCATATGGAACTAGTGACAAGTTACAGTATTAAGGAGATTTGTTTTAAACCAAGCTTCTAAAGTGTGCATGGAAATACTAAATACATCCCTGTGTGTTTTGCAGATAATCCTAGTTTGCTGAGCCATGTCACAGTGGGTATTAGAGTTCTGGATGTCAATGACAATCCACCCGAACTTGCCAGGGAATATGATATTGTTGTCTGTGAAAATTCTAAGCCTGGCCAGGTAAGTTAATTGTTTCCTTCCTATCATTTGAATGGAAGAAAAACAAGTAGCTTTATTTATATTATTCTTAGGTATAATTCCCCAAATCCCCCAGTGTAATTTTTGTGCTCAATGAAAATGATTTTATAGCACCAAATAAATTTTTTGAGAATCATAGAAAATAAACATTCTCTGGATCCCAAATGTAACTTAGAAAAATGAACTCATTCATGAATAATGTGTTCATCCTGCTAGTAAAGTTATACTGAATGCTTTATGTACAGCCCTGCATTAAGTGAAGAAGCAATAGTGAATGTTCCTGTCCTAATGAAACTTACTGACTAGATTGAGGAGGAGGGACTTCTTGGCCTGCTTTGGAGGATCTGAGGGAGTGACAGATGAATGGTAATTGAGTGATGCTGGTGCTAAAAAGCAACACCCTGTTTCTACAAAAAAAAAAAGGTAGAAAAATTAGCTGGGCTTAGTGGCCCGTGCCTGTAGTCCCACCTACTCAGGGAACTGAGGCAGGGTAATTGCTGGAGCCCAGGAGTTTGAGGTTGCAATGAACTATGATGATGCCACTGAACTCCATTCTGGGCAAAAGAATGATATTATATCTCAAAACAAAAACAAATGAAAAAAATCAACAGAAAAGCTCCACCCCAAAAAACTCAACAGTAAAAAAAAAAAAATCCAATTTGAAAATAGGCAAAAGACATAAGCAGACATTTACTGAAAGGAATATAAAAATAGCAATCATATGAAAAGATATTCAAAATTATTAGTGATTAAGTAAATAGAAATTAAAGCTACAATAAGAAATCACTACATGCCTATCATAAGAGATAAACTTCACTAAATGCTGGTAAGATGCTGAGAAATTAAACTATTTCTATATTTCTGGTGAAAGTGCAAAATGGTACTGCTATTCTAGACTATATTTTGTCAATTTCACAATAAACTGACCATGCAATTACCATATCATCCAGCAATTGCACCGAAACATTTCAACCAGAGATAGGAAGTCTTGTGTTCACACAACAAACTGTACAAAAATATCTGTAGCAATTTTATTCATAATAGACCTAGACTGGAACCAACTCAGAAGTCCCACAATGAATGAATAGTTAAGCAAACTGTAGTAAATTCATAAAGTGGAATATCCTTCAGTAATATAGAGAAACAAACAACCGATGCATGCGACAACTTGGATAAATCTCTGAAGAATTTTTCTGAGTGAATAAAAGAGCCAATCCCTAGAGTTTGCATAAAGTATGATTCCATTGAAATAGTATTTTTACCATAGTAAAATTATAGAGATGGAGAGCAGATTAGTAGGTGCCAGAGTTTAAAAAGGTGAGTAGTAAAGGTGACAGGGAAGTGAGTGTGACCATAAAATGGCAACATATGAGGTGGCTTTACCATGATGGAAATGTTTTGTATCTTGTCCTTACCAATGTCAATATCCTGGTTTCAAGAGTGTTTTGCAAGATACGACCTGTGGGGGGAACTAGGTAAAGGGTACATGAGACTGCTCTGAATTATTTCTCACAACTGCCTATGAATCTCCAATTACCTAAAATAAACATTTTAATTAAAAATGAAAACAAAAAAATACATAATACCTCTGAAAGAACAATACTAAAAGCTATTTCTTTATCAGGAAAGATAAATATAGAAAACAATGCAAAGATAAGTCCAAAGAGCTGTAAGACAATAACTGGCAGCAATAGATTCATTTTCTACCAAAAATATTAATCAAAAGTAAAGTTAAGGAAAATTCATATTTAGGAAAATAAAAATGTGAGAATTTATAAGCATAAGAAAGACACACTATTAAAGCTTTACTTTAATGAAAAGGGAAATAACTGTGTTGGCAAGAAACATTAAAGAGTAAAGCAATCAGTAAATATTTTGGTAAAGGTCAATGATTAAAGAATGAATAAGCAACAAAAAAAATGTTTTCTGGGAGCTAAAAATATACAGTGTGCATAGCCTAAGAAATCATAAGAAAGGATGGAGGTAAGTGAAGTTAAAACATTCTGAAGTCCTTAAATATTAAGGAAATTGATAGTATTTATTAATATTAATTTAGCTAATTAAATGTACATTAATAATAAATATTAAATATTGATGTTAGTTGATATTAATTTACAGTATATTTTATGAGTCAACAATGCATGTTGTAATCTCTAGATTAGTTGATAAAAATAGTAAAAGACCATGTAAAAGTAGCAAAAGATCATGTAACTAACATGTAACTATAATAGTAAAAGATCATGTTACTAACAAGCTAATAGAAATTAGAATTTGAAAAAAAATCATGCCAAAGAAGGCAATGTTTAAAGTTCTATTTACTGATCTTAATAACAAAATGTTTACTAACATTAAAATAATTCACTAATTTACAAAACGTGTGTGAGATTTTCTATATTTTATAATACAAAGTTAAAGAGAAAGAAATGTTTCTATATAAGGACCTATCTTTAAGGATTCTAGAATAGAATATTATAAAATTAAAATATAATCCTAGTAAAATATTCAGTTTATAACCAATTTAATAGTTCCAACATAATCTTGAAATTTGTGTAAAGTTAGTAAAACTCAGAGTTAGAATGAAGACTTTTCATGTTTTCTGTTGAGATACAGTTTTGCCTCAACAAAAATAAGCAAAGTAAGGTAAATATTTTGGTACATATAATTTTCATAAACAATATTAATGGTACTTAAAAAGACAAAAGTAATAATAAACAAATGGAAATAATAAAACAAATGGAAAATATAAAGAGCAAATACACAATATATAATTTAAAGTGTTCATTAGTATTTAAGTTAAAATAAAACCACCCAAATACTCAAATTAAAAGATGCCTATTATCAGACTAGATTTAAAAAGTCAATTAAAAAATGTTGCTTATAAGAGATACATTATCAATATAAAAAGAAAACAGTTTGAAATAAAAAATCCAGAAAAGTATTCAAACCATTACTAATGGAAGTTATATACATACCTCTAAAGAATAATATGCACATACATATAAACTTTATCAAGAGAAACATTAATATTAATAGATGTAAAGAGACAAATTTCATTATGATAAAAATAGCCTGTATACCAAGTAAAAATAGCTATTTTAAATTTAGATATATTTATCAACATTACCTCTAAATTAACAAAGCAAAAACTGATAGACATATAAAGGGAAATAGACAAATGTTATTGAATTGGGAATTTTTGCACACTTTTCCCAGTAACTGATAGAATATTCACATAAAATTTCAGAAAGAATATTGAAAATGGAATATCACAACTATCAGACTGTACTGATTGACAAGTATACTAACTTCAGATTATGCACTACAAAATTTGCACAAAATATTGACCGAAAATTTTCTATCTGCTGGGTCAAATAGCAAGTTCTATTAATAGAACTTTGCAATGGATAGACCTTACTTTTTTTCTTTATTACAATAAATATAGCTATATTGCAATTCAAAACTATTGCTAGAAAAAGTTCTATTGGAAATGGAACAATGCATTTCTAAATAACCTAATAGTCCATGAAGAAATACAAAGTTAAATGAAAAAAATATAGTTACATGGAAAGACAATGAAAATGTACCATATCAAAGCTTCTAAGAAACAGTTAAACAATGACTAGTTTAAATTTATAATTCTAAATGCATAGAATGAAGATTATGTATTTTATTAAAAATTAAAAGTTCAAGCATTCATTTATAAGAAGTTAGAACAATAGCAGTAAATTTAAGTGAAATAGGAGGAAAAAATTACACATTTATAAACAGAGATCAATGAAATGAAATGAATCAAAACAAATAGTAAGAAGTCAATCATTAGTAATTTGAAAAGATAGGTAAGTCCCTGTTAAGACTGATATAAAGAAGAGACAGACAAGAGGACAAATAAACAATATTAGGAAAAATAAAGGGGAAATAACTATAGCCCTTATCGATTCCAAAATTCAATTATTAGGACATAAATGATGCACATGCATAGGCACAAAGAGTTGTAGAGGACATTAGAAACCAAGAAGAGGTGAGGATGGGAGCGGGTGAGGAGTTTCAAGTATCTTGAACACTATTCTGGTGATAGGTACACTAATAGCCTTCTCTTAAATATTATACTAGATATCCATGTAACAAAAACACGGTAACCCCTTAAAAAAAGCAGTTGATACTTTTTTCTGCATATGTCAACATCTGCCCCCAAATTTAAATGGCTGGTCTCAGTGTTCTTTCTGGCCTGTGACTTGATATTTTTTGTTAACCTCTCATATTGTCTATTTCTTCCTCATGAGATAAATTCATTTTATTCTCCTTAGGACTTGCTCCCCGCTAAATGTGGCATCACTAACCTGGGCCCTCTGTTTTACCCTCTGCACTGACTGCAAAGGCTCTGTAGCATTTCTACAAAATGATTTTATGTGATACTAACAAGTGCTTTGTTTATCTCTAAAAAACAAATTGTCAGAATTTCAGGGACCTTCTAACACTGAGATTCTATGAATACATGCCTGATAAGCTTCAGATTCCTTTATAATTTGCTTTATTTTCTGCATGAAAACTATTATACCCTTTGGAGATGACTGTATCTGTGACAACATGTTTTTTGTTTTTTTTTCTTGGATGGGTTTCATTAACCATTTATTTACATAGTGGTCTTCCTTTTCTATATTTTTGTTTTTGATTTTTGGAAAGTAATTGCTATAACTTAGCAACCTTAAATTCTAAGATATTTTGTTTAAGTTTTGTAAGTTGATTAAGTTATGTGATTACTTCATTTTGTTCCTTAAAACTATATTTAGCCATCATTTTTGTCTTTAATTATAAGACAATTGAACTCTTTATGTGGTTGTAAGCATATGTTTCCAAATCTCTCACCAAAATGAATTTAAACCTTGAGGGGAGAAAAATCATTTTTGAGTATTGCTTGTGTCAGGAATATTTAAACAAATCATTACCATTACAGGTGGTCTACTTGTGTGATTAACCCATTACAGAGTAAAATGGCCTGACTCTTTTTATTACTTATTTAATTTTTCAGTCTTTGGCTCTTTTAACCTTACATTGAAGCCATTTCTGGAGAAACTTCATGTGTTTTGATGCAGAATTTTAATAGGAAACTCTATTTAAAAAATAATTTGTGAAATAAGTTTTCTGAAGTGTATTTGTTATTGCCCAGCTATATGACAGTTCCTCTTTCAGTGGCAATTGCTTTTAGAATTACAGAGATTTCTATATGGATGCTGTGCACCTAAGTATATCAGTATGTTGCTACGGCAAAGAGATTGGTCTCACATTAAAGTTCAAACCACTTTTAACAGCCGGAGTTCAGGTGAATTCAGATATCAATGTGAACTACAACAATACAGTTATCTGAGTTAATATATTTTCCTGTTTTGAAAAAAAAATAATCTTTTAGGTACCCTGTCTGAAAAAATATTAAAAAGAAAGTCATACATGCATGAAATTTCAAGTCAGTTCCCAAAGCAGAGTGAATTCAAAAGAATTTAGATGTTCCTAACATAGAAACCTTAAAAAATAAAGAGAGTGCACTGTATTTTATTCATATTGAATTTATTCTGGGTTCATTTTATTTTTCATTAGAAGTAAACTTAGAAAGCATAACACAAAAAAGAAATCATTTTGTTACATGCCACTAGCCCTTGTCTCAATCACATGCAATTATTAACTATATATATATAACTTTGAGTTATATAAAAGTTACCTAGATCAACAGAGATTTTTTTTACTGTGCCAAACATCAAGCTCATTTAACTAAAAAAAGTTGATATTATTATCAAATAAAGATGTACAAGTTATGTTAAGGAATATATTATGAAACAGACTCATTGATTGAATAAGTTACTATATCTTTCTTAGAACTTCCTTTTCAATTAAAATGCTTAAGACAAGTTCATATACCAAATCTAATGTTATGTTATTTTAATATATTTGTTACACTGACTTTTTTTTCCTGATAAAGTACTTGAGCAGTAATAGACTATAGAAAATAAAATTTTAAAAGTATCTATATTTATTTGTGGATATCATCAAAAATTTTTCCTGGTAATATTTATAAACGCTATAAATTTGATTTCTCTCCCTTTGCATTTGAAGGGTAAACTAATTTGTGGCTTTATTTCTGCCATATCTATTAAAATAAATAAGCGTTTTTGCACTAATTATATCATGGGTATATGATAGAGAACATTTCAGTTCATTTGGAAGGAGTGAAAATCAAAAAGAAACTGTTAGGGATTTTACACTGTCAACCAATTACACAGACAGAAAGCGCAGGCAACACAGTGTATATAAATCACAACTCTTAAAAAAGAGTAGAAAATATTGATAATGGAAACCTAGCAATTATCTAGATATTTACCAGTTTACATCTTCTAAAAACCAAAAACATGTTAACCTCTTAGGTATGCTTGTAATGAAAGTCTTAGGTGACAATGGATGTAAATCCTATTTCCTGATGAAAGTAACAGGGAGATTTGTAACACAGAAAATTTGAATAAGCCATCTCAGATCAAGAGAGTATTCCAGAATTCTGGACAAAAGCAGACCAATATTCCTGGTTTTAGAAACATTTTTCATAAATACTGTGAAGGAAAATTTAAGCATAGATGCATGATTAAAATTCTATAATATAGTTCAAGATGAATGGGACACTGTTAAAGAAAATGTGATAATCAAACCATCATTTTCTACGTAGATGAGACTGAGAGTTTCTCTCTAAGAAAAACAAATTTGATAGAAGTGAGCTGCCTATTAAATTCAGATTTGAAATTACCTATATAAAAATTGAAATGACACTTTAGTAAAGATTATAGAAACACAGAAAACAACAGAATATGAATGTCAGAGTTTTAAAAAAGTATAAGTCTCATGTTCGTAAAAATATTAAGAAAACATTAATTTATAAACTAACTTTGAATAATAGAAAGGAAAATAGCAATCCCACAGAAGTGATAGCAAGAAACATTAAATAGCTCCGTTGATTTAAGTGAGTTGTTCTCCACCAACATCTCCAAATTATATTCCGGATAAGAAATAAGAAGTAAAGTTTCACATGTGTTAGTATGTTATGAGATATCATGGAGAAAAATGGAGAATCCCACAGTGAATGAAGAGCAAGGTAGGTGGTAACTAAGGATATGTGTGGGCATGTGGTTGGGTAGTGGAGTATGTAGTGCCTGCTTAAAAACTCATGTCTGTTTAACCTTGAAGACAAACTTGAAAATTTGACATTGTTGTTATCTCAGTTTGATATTAACTGATGTATAGAAAATGTGGGCATGTTACTCAGATGATGCAGCATTCTGAACTCTATTTGAAACTTTTCGTGCACTTTAAAAAAAATGGTCACATTGCTTCTGATTATCCATCAATGCATCCTTCTACTTAAACTCAAAAGCCAAAACAAAGGAGAAATGATCTATCTAGAGACTAGTTGTACTTTAAATGAAAGAAGTAAACAATCATTAAGCAAATATGAAATTGTCAGCTCATAAATAAATATGGAAGTAAATAGAGAAGTATAGAGATTTCTTTGGAGATGAGGGGTGAGGAGCACATAAGATCTCTTGCTGAGCCAGTACTTTTTAAGAAGTGATGGGAAGGTTGGAAGGAGTGAGCTGGGTGAACATATGGAGGAGTTGATCACTTCTACACCCTGAAGCACATTCTTCACTTGCACCCAAAGAGAAAGAATACTTGCTTTTCTGGTTTTGCTCCCACTGACCACTCTCTCTTGGTGCTTTTATATTCTTCCTCATCTTCCTGAGAAAATAATGGGCTCAGGACATGGAAGAAATTCAGGTTTTAACCGTGATATCCTTTGGTAAGTTACTTCCCTTGTAAAATATTAAAATTGGCTAAAATCAGGTAAAACGTTCTAAGACATTGTATCAACTTTGAAAATGGACACATTGTATGTCACAAAAAATAAATACTATTTTTACAGCTATTTCAACTATTTCATCTTTCCCTCTTTGTTTCTGATTTTTCTAAGGAAAAGATAGAAAGAAAACACATAAACAAGATCATTTTTTTAAAAAAAATTTGCTTGTTTGTTTTGACTTATTTTTAAGAAATATTGTGGCCATAGCTATTGAAATTTGTGTTCTGCTCTTGGGACACCTGAAATATTTTATTTATATATTATAACTTACTCTGCTTCTTAACATGTATTAATTTCAGATTTTAGAATTGCTTTCTCTTGACCATTAGAGATGGGACACTATCAGTACATGACTTGGGGGGTCTGATTTTGCCCCTGCCACTATTTTAGAGATTTATGGCACATCACAATCCTTCCAAGACCCAGGTTCATCATCTGTAAAATGTATGAGCTGGATAATGGTGTCAAAGGCCTCTTGCAAGAGTAAAAATGTAAGACTCCACTGTTCTTGCATTTACTGACTGAGAATAACACACATTGCAAGACTTTTCTGCATCAACACTGGGATATTTATATTTGTACAAACAATATTTGATGTCTTTTCTAACAAGTGCCCACACAAAATCTTACAACTAAATGACCCCACAATGCTACAAGTAATAAAGAAAAATTTTATGTTTCCCCATATTAGAAAATAAAGTGTGAAAGCTTATACATGGTGCCTTGTTCTTCCTGAGATCTAATGCAAGGGAGAGCAAGTTAATTGGGACTTGTATGAGTTGAATTTGGAAAGACTCAAGTTGGATAAAGGAATATTTTAAAAATTATTCTGTTTTAACAATCGAAAATAATACAGTATAATTAAAATCGAGGGAATAAGCAAAATTAAATTTACTGTTAAGTATTTGTCCTTTCTTTAGGTTATTCACACCATCAGTGCCACTGATAAAGATGATTTTGCCAATGGACCAAGGTTTAACTTCTTTCTTGATGAACACCTGCCAATGAACCCAAACTTCACTCTTAAGGACAATGAAGGTGAACATAAATACATATATTTTTTGATCTATGTAGTTTCTGCTTTGACTGATATGAAATAAGCTTGATCAGTTTTGTAGGATTCTTATATACTCATGAACAGCTTGCAAATCAGCATTCAAAGTCAGTTTGATTTTAATGTGTTATGATTTGTGAATAGCTTATATTTAAAATTGAGCCATATGTACAAATAACTTTCATTGAATTTATTTAGAAGCATCCCTTTAAACAAGAAATGTACAAGTAATGTGCTCTTGGGCAAATTTTAAGAGAAATCTTAGCTGACAAACTTGTTTATGAGAAGCTGTAATTGCTAGGAGGGAGAAAATATTTAAATTAGAAAAAATGAAAAATATGTCCTAGAGACAGTTACAAAAGGAAATGCAATGCTTGAAATCATCTTGTATTAGCAAAGCTATCAGTATATGCTGTAAAAATTATATTTCCTCTTGTTAGTGGGAATATTTCGCAAAATATCCATAGGAAGATATGCATAATTATGCAGAATATTGTGGACTGTGGAAGTTTTGGGATCATTTTGTTTAATCTCCTGTATTGGGGGTGGGGAACTGGGAAGAATCCAATAATTTAGTAACTCTGGAAGATTCATCATTATTAATATTCCCTATCTGATAGATTCCTCAAGATTGCATACAAGTCATTCTTGATACCTTAGGGAAATATTACTTTATTCAGTATGTGAAATTTTCTGATTAGTATCAACTTTCTCCTTCCCTAAACTATCTTTCTTCATGTTTATCTAAATATGCTGTAATTTAGGATTTAATGATTGCCTCAGAATCACATGAAGGAAACAATGGTATATACATTTTAAAGTAAACATTTATTTCCCTCTTTGTACACTTCTAAAAGGAGAATTTTCAAAAGCAAGTCACTAAATGACAACCTGCTAAAAACATTTTTCCCATTATCCCTAATGGTCTATAAATGTAACCAGAATACCATAGTGTGCATTGTGGCCATAAAAAGGTTCACATGAACATACAAAACTTAACTGCTTTTCCCATTTTATGTAGCCCTATTTGAGCTTTACTTATGAGAATATATATTTTGGATGACAAATTGTATTTGGCTATTGTATATTTACTTACCTTTAAACATTATATCTTATAATCCAAATATAGTTAGGATACTTAAACATATGACCCACATTAAAAAATCAATTTATAGTCTCTCATATTTCAAAGAATTTCATAATTTGGGGGAGCATTTAGCTTGCTTCCTTAGTAAACTGAAATTATATCTAGATACACATGTTTATATTTCATTTGGAATGTTTCTATTCCAAACTTTATTTTACATTTTTAAAATAAATTTAATATGATAATATTATGATAAAATTTGATATTATGATAAAATATGTGCTAAATTTAGGCTATTTAACCTACATAGGCATAACTCTAAAAGTACTTTAGAAAAACAGGAGAATGTTATTTTCATTGAAACCCATGTCCATAACTAAAAGCTTTTCATGCAAGATTATTATGTCTGGAATTTGTGAATTTAACTGAGAGTTGTATTTGAAGTGTCTTAACTCAGTGATAAGACAACATTACCAGTGCTGGAACTAACATATAAGGTATTCTCCTAAAATATATACAAACTTTTAAAAGGGTTTGTATGTACATTTTGAAACATTAATTTTAACCACACATAATACTTACCATCTCAAGTGTGAGAAGCCTGTGGACAGTTTCATAGTGGTAAAGATGTTTAAATATATTTGTATAAATATGTTTTACAATTTTTGAAAATTTATGAAATTATAGATAATACAGAAATCATTTATCTTGTGTAGAAAGAACAGAAATCATTTGAAAAGGGGCTATTAGTGCATAGCTGAAAACGTGGACCTGAGTAAGCAGACTTGGTTGTACCACGTAAGTTCAGCCCCTTACCCTCCCAACCCTCAGTTTTTATATCCATCAATACTGATTAGAAATACCAACTTTTCAGCTTGGGAGAATTAATGTTACCATATATAAATTAATGTTACCATATATATAGTATCATATGGTCTTTTCTTTACAGGTAAGGCAATTATAGATAACATAAAGATGAAATTAAAAATGAAATAGCCATACCAGAGTAAATACGTATATATGTACATACTTACATGCATTCATTTATTTACCTATGCTTAAATATTTCTCTAGACAATAACCTGAATTAAAACACAACGGAGTAAGAGTCAGACAATCTCGTCCTGGTGGATCCTAGGTGCCTGGACATTGCAATACATGAGTTAATAGACATTACCATGGCCCCAGAGTATAAGGAAAGAAATCTAGAAGAACAAATTAAAGCCATTTCTTTTCTGCACCTACCGCTTACATGAAAGTACATATTCAGGAAAACAATAGAAAGCAGACATAGCCTTTAAGCCAGGTTATGTGATCAGGAAGCCATTGATTTAGTGTCATCTCCTAAATTGCTATATGGCAAAGAGTGAGTACATAGAAACAGATTTCCATGAAGAGATACAGACAGAAATGTACAGTGTTGTTGCAGATCAGACCTCCTTCACATTTCTTGATACTTCATTGAAGTAATGCCTACTAGAAACTATTGTAAAAGCCCCTATTTAATTAGTTTCACTTATTAATATGTATATACTAAACTCATACCAAAGATGAATACTTTAATAGCATTTACACCTAGAATCACATAGATAGCTAATTTCCTCATACCAACTAAAAAGATCTTCCCCATCTATGCCTGAATTGGATTCTCCTATTTAATACCCAGATCTGCTTGCTAAATGGCTAAATGTTCCATGTTTTTCTAGATCTTTCCCATTCCCATAAGATCTTTCCTGACATATGGTCTATGCCTGATTAATTTGGAACCTGCTAATTTATCTGAGCATTATAGTTTTCTTTAATGTTCTATAATGTTTATTTTAAAGAGTTTCTTTATTTTAGTACAACCTCTATGGAAGGTCATATGGAGATACCTCAAGGAGCTAACGGTAGAACTATGATTTGATCCAGCAATCCCATTACTGAGCATCTATACAAAGGAAAAAAAAGACATCCTATAAAAAAAAAATCTTCACTAGAATGTTTATAGCAGCATAATTCACAATTGCAAAGGTGTGGAAACAACCCGAGTGCCCATCAATACATGAGCGGATTAATAAAATGTGGTATATATATACCGTGGAATACTACAACGCTACAAAAAATAGTGGTGATCTAGCACCTCTTTTATTATCCTGGATAGAACTGGAGCCCATTCTGTTTTGAATGTAGTTTTTATTACTCACTATGACATAGGCTGGGAATATATTGGCAGAATGTACCAGCATTGAGTTAATGACCTGCTAAGGGAAGCAAAAGTCCTAAGTAAAGCAAATACATCCATTCAAAGAAAACGTGGTCCAAATACTCATTTCTCTGGTTGATAACCATTTCATTCTTTTATAGATCTATAAATCACTGGTGAAATTACTTTTTCTTCTATTTCCATGAACATATTAGTATTAGTGATTTTACAATTATTACTAGCCTACTCTAATATCTGGATCAAGTGCCAATATTTGTTTTTTCCTGTGGGGTAGGGGGAACTTAAATCCAATCAGAGTCTGAGCTGAGTCCGGGCTAATTTGCAGTTTTGTTTAGATTCAGTTTATCTCTCATTTGTTCCTGTTCCTAGAGCCTGACGCTCTAGGGCTTTCCACTGAGAGCAAGCTTGTGCACTCACTCTGGTCCATTAATCATTGGTTAACACCAAGATATGGCAAAGACGTTCTTCTATGTCTTCCAGATCTTTTCAGCTTAGGGTTTTAGCTTTCTGTTAAATTTCCAAATTAACTTCCAATTTAATCTTTCAATTTAACAAATGTCTTTGGGGAAAATCAGTCATGTATTTGAGGCCCCTCAATTTCTAATTTGATTGCAGGCCCATGAAGTTTCCAAAAGCTTTCCTGGTTTCTCTTTGCCCAGCTTGGAATCCTAGCACCTCGTCAGTCTCTAGTAGAAACAAATACCTGTAGAATGGGTAACCCATTCTACTAAGTGAAGTATCACAAGAATGGAAAAACAAGCACCACATGTACTCACCAGCAAATTGGTATTAACGGATCAACACCTAAATGGACATATAGGAATAACATTTATCAGGTGTCGGGCAGGTGGAAGGGGGAGGTGGGGATGGGTATATAGAAACACAAAGAGTGAGATCTGTAATGTTTGTGGGATGGTCACGCTTGAAGCTCTGATTCGAGGTGGGAGGGGGGTATGGGCAACATACTTAAACTTAACATTTGTTCCCCCATAATATGCTGAAATAAAAAAAAGAAGCAAATACCTGTAGAAGAAAAGAGGTTTTGTGATCAACAGTTCACTCCTCCACATTTTTTTTCTTCTCTCTGGAACTGAAACCCCTCTAGTTTTCCTGGAAGTTTTCTGATACTATTAAACGATATTGTCTTAAAATTTCAAGCTTTTCTCTTTGTTATCAGTGGAAGCATTTGTCAGTCAAAAACTACCTATTTTACCCAGACTTACATTTTATAAAGCAAGAGCCATTTTGGAATAGTGCCATTAAATAATTACAACATAAACTGGGCTTCAAAGAAAGGACACTGTTCAATAATAATCTAAGTATTGTGGAGATACTGGCTGCTCCAGATATCCCTGGTATGCTACAGATATTTGTTCTTTCAAATTTAAACACATAGCTGGCACAGTGAAAACAAGGACTGGACCATGATCTCACAGAGAAACCAGATTTCAAATAGAGCCAAGATGTTTCTGTATTCTAACTCTGAAACATTCTATGTCGTTTCCCTTTTGATCTTTCAGGTCATTAATTCAGTTTTCAATAGTGTACCATATTTTTAAAGCTGGCAATATTTTCACGTGAGCTTAAAAGTCTCATGCAGATGTATGTGTAAGTATGTTTAAATAGTGTGTTCAAAACATAGTATGTTTAATTAGTTATGTTCAATTAGTATGTTCAAACATAGTATGTTC